CTTATTATGTATAGAAACTTTATATTTAACGTTTCATCTAATTATCTCCAGAACTCTTTAAGGTAGATCAAAGAGGAATCTGATTCAAAGGTTTAAGAATAATATTAACCTCAGGGCACCCGTCTTGCTTAGTCAGAAGAGCATGTGACTCTTGATCTCAGACCAGTGAGTTGAAGCCCCAGATTGGGTATAGAGATTACTTAAAAAAAAATAAAAAATCTTAAAAAAATAATAATAATATTAATCTTTGCTCAGGGTCACAGAGCAAGCCATGCATGACTCTAACACAAGGAGGTCCAAAATCTGTGCTGCTTCACCAAAGGAACAGATACTGGGGGTGGTTCTGTTCTTATTATAGTATAAGGATTATATCGCAAACCAACAAAAACCCTAAAATCCTATTTCCTTTCCAAAGGAAAATGGCTTTAAAAAATTTTTTCTAATGTACACTAGTCTCTCAACCGCAAGTTATTTTTAAGATAATTAGTAATGGCATTATGAATTAATCCATTGCCTACATTTTTGGAGGGAAAAGGGGCAAGTCAAATACATATTTAAAATAACAATGGTGGGGCGCCTGGGTGGCTCAGTTGTTAAGCGTTTGCCTATGGCTCAGGTCATGATCTCAGGGTCCTGGGATCAAGCCCCGCATCAGGCTCCCTGCTCGGCGGGAAGCCTGCTTCTCCCTCTCCCACTCCCCCTGCTTGTGTCCCCTCTCTTGCTGTGTCTCTCTCTGTCAATAAATAAAATCTTTAAAATATTTAAACTTAAAAAAAGCATTTATAATAATATAATCTAAGGTTTTTAAGATAAATATATTTTACTTACCAATTTTTAAAAGTTACAAATGTTAAGTATTATAATAAAACAGTTACTTTTAAAGGTCTATCTTTTGTCATGTTGTATTTCATTCATTCATTCATTGACTACATACTCAATGCTGGTTCTAAGATGTGTAAGATTTTTTTTTTTTTAAGATTTTATTTATTTGACACAGAGAGAGAGAGCACAAGTAGGCAGAGTGGCATGCAGAGGGAGAGGGAGAAGCAGGCTCTCCGCTGAGCAGGGAGCCCGACGCGGGGCTCGATCCGACGACCCTGGGATCATGACCTGAGCAGAAGGCAGTCGCTTGACCAACTCAGCCACCCAGGCACCCCTATAAGATACATCTTGTGGCCAGTTTAGTACTAGAGACAAAGGAAGAAAGTGGGGGAAATAAAGTAAAAATAAACTACAGAATGGAAGAAGAAAAGATAAACCTATATGGAGAGAAATTTCATAGACTGCCAACCACAATTTTTATATCTTCAAAACTGCATATTCAAATACAGAAAAATTCATTTAGTCAACATATACAAAAAAAAAAAACACTAAAAAGTAGACAATGCTAGGCAGTGGGTATACAATGACAGAAAAAGTGGTATTTGCTCTTAAGTTACTTAAAATTAAGTTGAAGTCAACTGTAGTATTTGCCACCGTAGACCTTATAATTAAATTGAGAAGTCTATTCATATTCAGTAGATACAAAAAAAATTTAATTGTGTTAGCACTCACTTAAAAATTTAGGTCCACAAAATACATATTTTTACCTATTTTATGTTTAAGGTTTAATTCCGACTTCATTCATTAAAAATATTCATCTAGGGGGCGCCTGGGTGGCTCAGTTGGTTAAGCGACTGCCTTCAGCTCAGGTCATGATCCCAGGGTCCTGGGATCGAGTCCCGCATCCGGCTCCCTGCTCTGCGGGGAGCCTGCTTCTCCCTCTCCCACTCCCCCTGCTTGTGTTCCCTCTCTCGCTGTGTCTCTCTCTGTCAAATAAATAAATAAAATCTTTAAAAAAAAAAAAATATTCATCTAGGGACGCCTGGGTGGCTCAGTTGGTTAAGCAGCTGCTTTCGACTCAAGTCATGATCCCAGGGTCCTGGGACTGAGTCCCGCATCGGGGTCCCTGCTCATCAGGGAGCCTGCTTTTCCTCCTGCCTGCCATTCCTCCTGCTTATGCTTTCTGACAAATAAATAAAATCTTTAAAATAAATAAATAAATAAAAATATTCATCTACATTTGAAAAATCAATTTCCAGAAATGTAAAGAAAAATAAACTTAAAAAAAAATAAACTTAAAAAAAACCTTATAGCAGAATAAATGTATTAAATTATTGAGTGAACTTAAACTGAAACAGCACTAATTCCAATTTAAAAAAACAGAAACCATTTTTACATTTACATAAAAGATACAAATACTTAAAAGTTGTGTTATTCTCAAAATTCAGTAAGCATCAAAATTAATAAAATGTTGAGAAACAATCTTTTCTACAAGAAATCTCTTCACATTAGTAAAAATATTCAAAACAAAGTTAATATCCAATTTTGCCAGAGGTATATAAAATCAAGAAACGCAAATAGAGTTCAAATAGCAAAAAACAAACACAAAAACCTAAACAATTATCAAATAATTCAGTGAACTAAAGAAATCAAATAATTATTATATGACTTTTGTATTACTGATTTGAATTGATCAGATGAGTATAACCTGAGAATCTAGAATATAGATATGAGCTTTAATAACCTAATATTAAATGGTCAATAACATAAGATGCTAAAAGTATATATCTTAATATTAAACTTCTTAGATTGTTTATTTTCCTAAAATGCATGTCTGGTGTTCCTGACCTTCCAGCTGATTACCAAAAAAAAGAAAGATAGAATGAGAAATAAACTTTCAAAGCCTGAACCCAATTTGTTTCCAGACTACTTTACTTCAATTTTCATCAATAAACTGGTGACACTGACAAGAAAAGAAATGAGACGAATATTCCTTGATGCTTTGTATAAAAATTTTTTAATAGTTTGAATCTCCCTATTTGTGTATGTTTTATATAAATGTCTAAAATTAGTGTTCCCTGACTAAATTCAAGGAGTAAATGCAAATCTTTTTTTTTTTTAAAGATTTTACTTATTTATTTGACAGAGAGAGATAGCGAGAGAGGGAACACAGGCAGGGGGAGTGGGGGAGGGAGAAGCAGGCTTCCCGCAGAGCAGGGAGCCCGATGCGGGGCTCGATCCCAGGACCCTGGGATCATGACCTGAGCTGTAGGCAAACGCTTAACAACTGAGCCACCCAGGTGCCCCGAGTAAATACAAATCTTAAAATGTCTTGACCAATCAGTAATCATATGCTTGGTATATAAGATTTTTTTTTTTTAAGGTTTAAAATGTGGTTTCCATCCTTACTAGGTGTTGGGTTATTAAGACTAATAAGTATATTAGCAAGTCACATAGGACAAAATATGATTTAATGATAAACTGTATGGCAGATTAAGTACTACAGATCAATGAAAGAAAATCCTAATGAAGGTCAAAATAGTCTAGGAAGACATGATTTTCTGATTTTTGTTTCTAGCTTCAAAGAGTCAAACCTGCCCATTAGCTGTCCTCAACAACAACAAAAAGTAAGTAATTTACTAAATTTATCTACTAAATTTTATTAAATTAAATTTCTTCAAAAGCATTATAAATATAAAAATTGGTAAATTTCTGGACTTCTTTCAGAGCACATGTGCTTAATAATTCTTGTGGCTAAAAGCATCAATGAATTCTAGGTTGACAAAGTTGCGTGGCCCAATAGCAAGAACATTGGTTTGAAGTCTTCCACACATGGACAATAATCCTAGCTCCATCAATTATTTGGCTTTTTGACCATGGGTAAGTTACTTAACCATGCAGACTATTTCTTCTTAAATAAGGATAACAACAATCACCTCCCATGGTTGTTGAAAGGATTAAATATCATATGTAAATATCACAATGCCAGAAAAAAATACGTGCTCAGTATTAGCTCCCACATTCAAATACATTTCAAACATAGTGATAACAACACCAAAAGACTGAAATGCCCACTTTGTTTTATTTTATTCTTTACCACAGAAATTGATATACTGACCTTCTATTTATTAGTAAAAATTAATGTGTTCAGCTTCTAATTCTGTAATAATTCTCACTCATCTTTGACAATTTGATAAAAATGATGGACTTTTTCATCCCAAAATATATACACGGTATTTTGCATCAAGTTAGGGACATTAACAGATTCCCCAAAGCTAGATTAAAAACTATGTTCTATCTGGCTATTTAAAAAAACATAATTCAAATTAAATAAAATTTAAAAATTCAGTTCCTCAGATACACTGGCCACATTTCAAGTGCTCAACAGACACATGAGTCTATTTGGTAACACAGATATAGAACATTTTTATCATCTCAGAAAACTTCTATCAGATAGGGCTATTCTGGAGTATTAACACAATGTGATACACAAAACTACTTTACCTCTGTTTTTGTTGTTTTGTTTTGTTTGAAGTATATTTTCAAGAGAGTGGAGACTGAATATTTTGCCCACAACCGAATCCCCAACGTCCAGCACATAATAAGCATTCAATAGGTATCTAATAGCTGACATTATAATTTCGTTTTGGTTATATTAATCCAGCAAAAATTGACTAAGTTGGTAAAGACCAGAGCTGAAAAGTATGAACTCAATGAGTATATAAATACTGTAGTTAAAGGGGAAAAAAAAAAGGAGCAGATCAACTTAGATATACTCTCAACTGATAACTCCTAAAGCCTAAAGCCAATGTGGGCTCCCCATGTGCAGACTAAATTTTTTGAATTTTGGCTAAAACACTTAAGCAAAATGTTAAGCCTTGTCCATAGCCTATTCTATTCAAGAATGGGAGAAATGCTTACTTCTAGCTAAAGAGCTTTCATTATCCCTTTATGGTTTTTCCTAGATAGAGCAGTTGAGTAACTTATTTTTAAATAGTATGTATATATTTACGCACAGTTTAACAAAATATTTTAAAAATTCACCAAAGTTTTATGTCTTAAAGATTATGGCACTAAAATTTTAGAAAATCTACTTCCTTTTAATGTATCATGAAATCACGACAAAACTGAGGCTATACACAGAACAGTAAAAGGTCTAATAATAATTTTGCACTTACACTGCCACATTTTTTCTAACGGTATATTCATCCAAATCGTCATCAGAGCTGCTATCAGTTGCATCAGAATCCAGACCTTCTTCAACATGAGACAACAGCCCTGTAGCAGACAGTGCAAATCTTTGGATTTCTGCAGCTGTACACCGTGCAAAGCCATTTTTTGTATCACTCCACAATTTATTCTCTGCAGTCAACATGTTGACTTCTGGCTTAATTTCAGTGCATTTAGGTAAACTGCTATCCAAAACTGTGGTAGGTTCATGAAAGATCTTCATTTGAGGGAGTTGATGTTTCAGAGAAAATTTCATTTGTTGACCATAGTGCTTAACAACATGCTTTGCCAGAAGCATCTGTAAATGTTTCTGAGTTCTTCTAGCCTGGCTAAGTAAAATTTTCTGTTTGCTTACACAATGAAGTAAACGAGCGTTCACTTCCTCCTCTTTTTCAGCAGCTGAGAAACTAATAGGCACATTTGAGTGGCCAGGCCCAATTTTCTTTTGAGCACAGTGCAATAAACCCTTTTTAATTTCAGCATCAGTAACTTTATCCAAAAGTGCACTCTTTTGGTACCATTTGCAGTTTTGCAGTTGTACTTTATCTACATTAGTGTCTTTGGTTATATTTGAATCCAAAATAATTTGTACATCTGTCATGCACTGGCTTGTGGTATCGGACAGAAGTTCCTTTTTGGTGAACTCTTCAGAATGAGAATGACAGATTTTACTAAGCTGAATATTGCTGCCATTACACAGTAGGTTTTTCAGCTTATTACAATTAGGTTCCCCTAGTTTCCTTTGTTTGTAATTCTCACTGTATTTATTTAATGTAGAATTAGAACTCATTAAAAGAACTGTCTGATAATGTTTTGAAGACTGAGAGGAGCCAAAATGTTTTAAATTCACAAAGTTAGTGTTAAGAGTAGGTTCAGGAGTTGGAAATCCCAGCATCTGAGACAAAGTGTCTCCCTTGAGCTTTTCATCTACAGTTCTTGGACTTTCCATGCATAGCATCTTGTCAGACTCCATGGTACTTGGTAAAGATGAAAAGCAGATACCCTTTGTTGCTGCCTCCCTCAGAGCTGGGGTCATGGCGAATCCTGCAGGTAATTACTGGAAACCTAAAATAATGTAAAAATAAATGATCAAATATCTAGGAAAAAGGATCATGCTTACACTTTTACCAAGGGCAACATTTTCAATGCTTCTGATTAAAATGTGAATGGAACCAAACTCCTCCTTTATTTCCCAACTCCTAACGATATCTCTGTTCTTTCTTAATTCATAAGGAATCCAACAAAGACTCAACTATTCTTTACTCCGACTGTGGGCCCAATACCAAAAACTCCAATTAAGGTTGCACACTACCTAGCCCAATAAGTATTAGACAAATACTTGTGAATGTACCTCAACTGTACTTCAAGATTCTTTTTTTTTTTTTTTTAACAATGTTTAGTGAAAGGCAAAAGAAAAAAATTCCAACCTGGAATCTGGGAATTATATTTGAAAATGTGACTCAATCCCATACTTTCAGCCAAAGTAAGAACTACTTATCTTTATAAAATATAAGCTGCTCAAAACCTCCATTTCTCAAATTTCACAATCTGAACAGTATAAATATTAACTAAAATAAGCTACGTAATATCAGAAGATGTAAGTAACTGAACTACAAGCAAAAAAGTATAATTTCACAACTATTAAAAATGATAGCAAAAACTTGCTTAATCTTCAATGCACAAAAATTTTTTGTGAAAAAGTATCTGCAGTATTTTTTTCCCTTTTCACAAACAGATAATCATAAGTTATCATTATAAAAGCTGTTACTCCTGCCTGGAAAATAGTGGGGACTGTAACAGATGACTGCTAAAAAATTAATCCCATAATTAAACAAATTTCATTGTATCTTATCAAAAGAAAAAGTGTAAAACCATACAGTCTGATTCATTGAAAAAGTTAATCATCTACCATTGAAAATTATGAAGACTAAATAGTGAAAAAAAAATTTATACCATTAAAAATTAGGAGTTTTGTAAGATACTCTGGAATGATACTCTGTAATTTGTTTCAATACATGATTGTTAATAGTCATTTAAATGGCCATACTCCCATACTTTGTCCCAGGTGCTAACTGTAACTCTATAACCTTCATTTTTATGTGAAAACACAAAACCCAAAGGGGATTCTTTACAAAGACTAGCAAGAATGATAAAAGGAATAAAAGGCACAAAGGCTCTAATGCAGTTACAAAAAAAATACACAGGGTTAAAAGCAAGTTATAGACTAGGAGAAGACTTAGGCAATATATATAATAAAAAAGAATTCATACCCAGAATACATAAAGAACTCCTACAAATGAGCAAACTGGTCAGACACCTCACAGATGACATCCAAAAGATCATTAAACATATAATCAATCTTACTAGTAATGAAGGAATTATAGATTAATAAAGCAAGAGGCCAGTTTTCCAATCACTAAATTGAAAATAATGTTTTAGGGGCACCTGGGTGGCTCAGTTGGTTAAGCATCTGCCTTCGGCACAGGTCATGATCTCGGGGTCCTAGGATCGAGCCCTGCATCGGGCTCCCTGCTCAGTGGGGAGTCTGCTTCTCCCTCTCCCTCTGCCTCTCCACCCCACGCATGCTCTCTCTCCTCTCAAATAAATAAAATCTTTAAAAAAAAAAGAAAAGAATGCTCTAAGTCTGAAATATCATTTATGACAAGATTTCCCACATCTGTTTGGACTATAAGTTGATTCAGGAATTTGACAATAATGTAGAAAATGTATTTGTCATAGGTGCACAAGAGAGCACTGTTTGTAAACAGCAAACTGCTTTCAAAGCAATCTAGATATCTAACAATAAGAGAATGGATGATAAAACATGATGGAATACTATACAGCAGTTAAAAAGAATGACCTAAATCTAAATATACAAATATGGACAAACCTCAAAAAGAATATAAAGGTTTTTTTTTAATGGTACAGTATGCTACCAAATAAATAAAATACAAACACAAGCTCTCTTTGCTCCATCTACTCTGAGAATGAAGACCATTCTCAGCAATCAGACTGTCAACATTCCAGAAAATGTCAACATCACTCTAAAGGGATGCACTGTCATTGTGAAGGGTCCCAGAGCATCAATGCAGGACTCAATCTCAGGGCGCCTGGGTGGCTCAGTCAGTTAAGTGTCTGCCTTTGGCTCAGGTCATAATCTCCAGGTCCTGGGATCGAGCCCCACATCGGGCTTTGTTAAAAACAAAGACAGCAGGGTGCCTAGGGTGGCTCAGTCGTTAAGCATCTGCCTTCTGCTCAGGTCATGATCCCAGGGTCCTGGGATCAAGTCCCACATTGGGCTCCTTGCCCCGCAGGAAGCCTGTTTCTCCCTCTCCCACTCCCTCTGCTTGTGTTCCTGCTCTTGCTATCTCTGTCTCTGTCAAATAAATAAATAAAATCTTTTAAAAAAAAAGACATCAGAAAATTTTTGGATGTTTTCTATGCTTCTGAAAGGAACAATTCAGGCTGATAAGATCTAAGTTGTCCAGCTACAGAAACAGCAAGATACCAGATGATTTTTCAGACTTATTTGTGATATTTCAAATATTCAATAAAAGCTGTATTGATTTGGGGGAAAAAAAATACAAACACAAGACCACACCACATAAATGTGTGTGTGTGTGTGTGTGTTTATGTGTTTACAAGAATAAAAAATGAACCAGAAAAATACCCACCAAATCTGTAACAGTAGTTGCACATCAGGTAAGTTCCATGAAACAGAACTAAGAGTGGTGGTTTAAGAGGAGCTGAGTTTCAACTACAAACTTTATTACCTGGGGGAAAAAGACTTAAATGCAAAATGAACAAATGTTAATGGTTCTTAATTCTGTGTGATAAAAATATAGACGTTTGGGGGTGCCTCACTGGCTCAATCAGTAAAGCATGCAACTCTTGCTCTCAAGGTCGTGTGTTCAAGCCCCATGATGGGCATAGAACTGACTATAAAGAGATGTTTGCCCTTTTTATACTTTACTGTGTAATGTCTCAAAAAAATGTAGAGATTTCCATATAATTCTCTCCTCAAAGTCTGTATATTTCAAAGTTTTCTAATTTTATAAGAAATATTCTATTATCTTCTATTCAATAAACATCTACAATAGTATTTAGATAGCCACACTGCTTTCTAAGGAAAACTGTGTTCACAGATGAGGGAGGTATATTCAAAACATACTATATCCCCTCCCTACCCACCTTCTCTCTCTCAAAAATCTGAACAAGGTACTAGGGACATATTCAAAGTGACTAACAGCAGAGGCAGAAGGTAAAATATCATGAGGCAGTAGAGTTCATCTCAGGCCCTAGATAAACTAAATAAAAGGGAAAACTAAGATGCAAAAATAAATAAATATTAATAGTTAAGAACTATAATTGGTAGCAAAAAAATGTACATTTAGACTGCCTTAGGGGCATTTATGGTAGAGAACTAGAATAAAACACACACAAAAAAAATTCTGGTGAGATCTCTAGGGCTTACTTGGTACAATAGGCAGTTTCTAAAATGCTCTTAATAATCCCCATATCCTGGTTATTCATGCCCTTGTGTAATCCTTTCAAGTATGGACTGGATTTGCTGACCTGCTTCTAGCAAACAGAACTCACGAGAGGTGATGGGATATCACTTCTGAGATTAGGTTCCATCTTGTCACCCTCTCTCACTCTGGGATGCCAGCTGCCATGCTGGGAGCTGGAAGACCCACATAGCAAAGAACTCATGTTTGCAGCCAACAGACAGCAACTACCTAAAGCCTGACAAAAGTTATGTGAGCAGTCTGAGAAGCAGATCCTTCCCCTGTCAAGCCTTCAGATGACAGAAGCCCCAGCCAACACACTGATTGCAACCTTGTGTGAAATCTCAAGCCAGAAGCACCCAGCTGAGCCATGCTTAGATTCCTGACCCATAGAAACTGTGAAAAAAAGACATTAAATTGGGGGCTAATATGTTACATAGCAACAGATAACTAATACACTTGGATATGAAGACTTTGGGTTCTAGTCTCTAGAAAGCCCATCCATTCCACAGTTCCAATTCTAGGATTTCCATGAAGTTCCTCTATATTATATTCCCAAGTGTATCCTTATAAAAATCTCAGCCTAAAAGTCTTTCTACATTGCAACCAAAAGAAACTCATGAAAATAGATGTCTCCTGTAAATAAAAGATTAAATTATGTTCATATAGTCTTTGTTTTATATGATGTATCATGGTGATTAATTTGCAAATACTGAACCACCCTTGTATCCCTGGAATAAATCCCACTTAGTGTTTAGTTTAGTTTTGTTTTTTTTTTTAAGATTTTATTTATTTATTTGAGAGAGAGAGAATGAGAGAGAGAGCATGAGAGGGGGAGGGTCAGAGGGAGAAGCAGACTCCCCACTGAGCAAGGAGCCCGATTCAGGACTCGATCCCGGGACTCCAGGATCATGACCTGAGCCGAAGGCAGTCGCTTAACCAACTGAGCCACCCAGGTGCCCTTAATGTTTAGTTTTATCATTAAACATAAGTACAGGGCGCCTGGGTGGCTCAGTCGTTAAGCGTCTGCCTTCGGCTCAGGTCATGATCCCAGGGTCCTGGGATCGAGTCCCACATCGGGCTCCCTGCTCGGCGGGGTCCTGCTTCTCCCTCTCCCATTCCCCCTGCTTGTGTTCCTGCTCTCGCTATTTCTCTCTCTGTCAAATAAATAAATAAAATCTTTTTAAAAAATAAATAAACATAAGTACATTATCCCAATTTTTAAAATTATTTAAATATGTGATCATTACATATAACAGTGTATCCTAATTGATTATTCTAAACTCTGCCATTTCTGACTTCCTCCATATTACATAAACTACACTTACCACTAACATTTCTAAAGATCTATGAAGGCTTGGATTTTCGACTATTTTGTTAACTACTACAGGCATCCCTCATTTTATTGCACTTCACTTTATTGCACTTTGCAGATAGTGCGTTTTTTTTTTTCTTTTACAAACTGAATGTCTGTGGCAACCCTGCATCAAGCAAGTCTATTGATGCTGTTTTTCCAACAGCATATGCTCACTTCATGTCTCTGTGTCACATTTTCGTAATTCTCACAATACTTCAAATTTCTTCATTATTATTATATTTGTAATGGTGATCTTGATTAGTGTTTATGATTCACCAAAAGCTCAGATGACAGTTTTTAACATCAAACTATTTTTTAATTAAGGTATGTACAGTTGACCCTTCAACAATGCAGGGGTTGGGGTGCCAACCACCAACAGTTGAAAATCCATGTATAATTCTAACTCCTCCAAAACTTAACTACTAGAAGCCTTACTAATATAAACAGTCAAATAACACATATTTTGTGTTATATTAGTATATTCTTACACTAAAGCTAGAGAAAAGAAAATGTTAAGAAAATCAAAACACATTTACAGCACTGTATTTATTGAAAAAAAAATCCATGTGTAAGTGGATGCAGAGGGTTCAAACCTATGCTGTTCAAAAGTCAACTGTATATTGTTTTTTCAGACATAATGCTATTGCATACTTAATAGACCACAGTATAGTGTAAACATAGCTTTTATGCACTGGGAAGCAAAAAATTCATCTGACTTGCTTTATTGCAGTATTGGCTTCGTTTTGGTGGTCTAGAACTGAACACACAATATCTCTAAGGTATGCTTGCTTACCATCAACATGAAAAGTATCTTACATACGCAGATGCTCAGTAAATACCTGGTGAGTAAGTAAGTGGTTACCATTATGTTCAGAGTAAAATCCAAAGTCGTCCTTTCCATGGCCTACAAAGTTCTACATTATCAGGTCCCTGATAACTTCATATTCGACATCTCCCTTCGGGGATCACTACACTCCAGCAACACTGCCCTCGGTGCTACTCTTGAAACACACCAGAAAAGTCCCTGCTTCAGGGACTTTGTACTTGCAATTCTCTCAGCCTGGAACCATTTTCCACAGATAAGATGGCTGGCTCCCTCAATACATTCATATTTCTGCTCTACGATACCCTCATCAGGGTCTTGACTTGACTAATATATGTAAAATAGCTTTAGCCTCTCAATTCATGACACTCCACTTCCTTACAATGCTTATTGTTCCTGATAGTCACGATCTGGTATTTTATTACATTCTAGTAAGGAATTTATTTTAAGGGCAGACCTATATTTTGGCCAAGGTTCCAACTGCCAGCACTTAGGTATACAATAATTGTCAAACATTTGTTGACTGAATTAATAAACAAACAAGTGAGGCTTGATTTTGACATGTGTTCCAAGATTTCGGTAGTAATAAATCATAACAACACCTATTTCAATTATTTTTAAAATAAATGTTACAAACAAAGCAATATATAAATATATGTGACACAACGAAATGTGGTTTTCAATTAGTACATACTGGCTCAATATTTTTTTTTAAGATTTTATTTATTTGACAGAGAGAGAGAGAAGAGATGGAACACAAGCATGAGGGAGCTGGAGAGGGAGAAGCAAGCTCCACACTGAGCAGACAGCCTAATGCCGGGATTGATCCCAGGTCGCTGGGATCATTACCTGAGCCGAAGGCAGATGCTTAAGGACTGAGCCACCCAGGCACCCCATACTGGCTCAATATTTTTAATCTTTTCTTTTTAAGATTTATTTATTTTAGAGAGACAAAGTGAATGAGCAGGGAGAGAGGCAGAAGGAGAGAGAGAGTCCTGAAGCAGTCTTCCCACTGAGCACAGAGCCCAACACAGGACCTGATCCCAGGACCTTGAGATCATGACCCGAGCCAAAATCAAGACTCAGCCACTCGAACAACTGTGGCTCAATATTATTATAAAAATTCAATCCTTGGGGGTGCATGCGTAGCTCAGTCGGTTAAGTGACTGACTTTTGATTTGAGTTCAGGTCATGATCTCAGGGTCGTGAGATTGAGCCCCGCATCCAGCTTTGAGCTAAGCGTGGAGCCTGCTTAAGATTCTATCTCCATCTCCCTCTGCCCTTCCCTCCCACCCCCTGCTCACACTTGCTTGCTCTCTCTTAAAGTAAATAAGTAAATAATCACTGATATTCACCATATTAAAAGATTAAAAAAGAAAATATAGGGACGCCTGGATGGCTCAGTCAGTTAAGTGTCTGCCTTTGGCTCAGGTCATGATCCCAGTGTCCTGGGAGCTAGTCCTGCATCGGGCTCCTTGCTCAGCAGAGAGCCTGCTTCTCCCTCTGCCTGTCAATGCCCCCTGCTTATGCACTCTCTCTCTGACAAATAAATAAAATTTAAAAAAAGAAAATTTTATGATCTTAATAGGTGAAGAAAAAGCATTTGACAAAATCTAATATTCATTCATGACTAGGAAAAAACCCTCTGATAAGGAAAAGAAAGAAAACTGCTTAAAGAGCATCTACACAAATGCCTACAGATCACTTTACAATTAATGATGAAAGACTGATGCCTTTGCCCGATGACTGGTAATGAGACAAGGTGTCTGTTCTCACCACTCCTATTCATCATCATACTGAGGTCCTAGCCAATGGAATAGATGAAGAAAAAAGAAATAAAAAGCATACAGATTGGAAAGGAAAAAGTAAAACTGTTTCTATTCACAGATGAAATTATTTTCTACATGGAAAATCCCAAGGGATCTATAAATAAAAAAAAAAAAAGCTTCTAGATCTAATGAGTTTACTAAGGTAGCAAAAATAAGGTCAAGATACAAACATCATTTATATTTCTAAAATGAAAAACTGGATGAAAAAAAGCAAGGAACACCCTAAATGGAGTGATATGCTGTGTTCATGGATTATTGAATATTGTTACAATGTTAATTCTTCTTAAAAAACTGATCTATAGATTCAACACAATCCTAATCAAAATCTTGGCAGAATTTTTTGCTGATATCAAAAGCTGATTCAAAAATTCACATGGAGGGACACCTGGGTGGCTCAGCCAGTAAACGTCTGCCTTCGGCTCAGGTCATGATCCCAGGCTCCTGGGATGGAGTCCTGCATTGGGTTCCTTGTTCAGCAGGGTACCTGCTTCTCCCTCTGCCTGCCACTCCCCCTGCTTGTGCTCGCTCTCTCTCTTTCTCTCTCCCTGACAAATAAATACATAAAATCTTAAAAAAAAAAATTCATATGGAAAAGGCAAGGAACTAGAAAACAAAACAAGAGAAAGAACAAAGCTGAAGGACTCAAACTACTTATCTATTTAGTCAAAATAAATGTGGCACTGGTAAAAGAACAAACACAAGATCAATAGAATAGAGAGCTCCAAAACAAACCACCACACATATGGTCAACTGATTTTTGACAAAGATGTAATGGCAATTCAATGTAAAAAGACTAACTTTAAACAAATGGTTCTGGAACAATAAGACATCCATATGCAAAACACTGAAACTTAACTCATATCTCAGAGGATATACCTTATATAAAAACAGTCACATCCAACAGAATGGATCATAGACCTAAAAGTTTAACTTAAAACCATAAAACTTCTAGAAAAATACGCAGAAAAAAATCTTTATGGGTTAGACAAAGATTTTAGATAGGACAACAAAAACATTATTCATAAAATTGATAAACTGGACTTCCTCAAAATTAAATACTAAACATAAGAAACTAAAACATAACAATTTATGCAGAAGATATATGTTCAAGTTAGTAGAAATCAAATGTGCATACTCCTGAAAGATTTTTTTTTTTTACCATTCAGGTTAACTCTAAGTAATGGCTTCAACTATTACACAATTTTAAACTGTAGTTATTTTAAGTCACTTACTATTTCATTTTTATGCATAAAGGACAAACGGTTAGAGGCAGAATACATAAGGAATACTGATTTAGAACATAAAATAATGAATTCTGCAAATTTACCTCAATAGTAAGCTAAACAAGTTTTGGTGACTGATGTTGATTTGCCTCAAAAGTCCATGTTCTTGAGTTTTCAGACTATGGGTGACAGTCAAGTGTTCAACATACTGTAGCTTTTTTCCCCTTGGAAATACATATTATAGGATGTGGTGATGTAGACCGTAAAACTGCAATTTTCTTGCAACTATTTTCGAATGATATCTATTTCTAATGTTTGTTGTACAGAGTTGAAATGATTGTTTTCCTTTTTTAAGTAAAAAAAATGGCATAAAAATTTTTAAAGGCTTACAAATACCAAATATACAAAATGTCAACATTAAAAAAAATTAGTCCCATTAGTTCTATGAAGTGTATTCCACATGATCACAATTATTTTATAGCACTTCCAGTATTTCAGAAGCCAATTTAAAAAAACAAGACAGTAAGAATATCTAGCTACAAGTAAAGTCATCTGGTTTTCATTTGAGTATAAAGACTATCCACACCACAACATGTTATTTATAAAGAAGTGCTTGTGAATGGCAGCTGAAAACCTATTTCATCTTTTAAAAACATAACAAAATGAAAACTTTCCAAAAATTACAGAAATAAACAAGTTTAAAAAGAGACAAACTGACTTTCAAAAAGCAGAAAATGAAGAAATGGCCAACCTTGAGTCATATAGTTTTGTCTATTTTTGGTAGGAGCCAGATTTTTAACCTCCATTTAATATGTATTCAATATAAAGCCAAACATTCAACAATTCAGTTAATACATATTTATTGAGTGAATATAACACACACCATCTTAGTTACTAGAAAGATGACAGTGAACATCAAAGGTAAGGTTTCCATTCTCACAGAGCTTACATTCTAGCAAATGGTAGATACAGAGTAAACAGACAAAAAAATACCAAGTAAATAAGGGTTCCCTAGTGTTCTTATAAAAAACTAAACAGTGATACAGCATGTCAACATTGGGACAGGAGTTACTTTAGATTTGTAGATGAACGAAGGCCTTGGTGTTGGTGACATCTGCTCTGAGATCTGAAATGACAATAACAAACCAACCAAGACTTGGGGGTAAGAGCCTTCCAAGAAAAAAAGCCAACTAATAAAATGTTTTTAAACAGGAATAATTTTGGTGTGTTTGTGGAACAAAAATAACAAATATATCTAGAACATAATGAGCCAGAGAGACAAAGTAAGAGGAAATAAGATCAGAGAGGCAAATGGTTTGCCAAGACATTTTATGTAAGTCAAAGGAAAACCACTAAAGGTATTTGGATAAGATAGTAACATGATCTAACACATTTTTATTTTTAAAAGATTCCTCTAGCTGTTCTACAAAGAAAAAGTTTGTATAGGAGAAAGAATGGAAATGGCTTCCAAGAAGAGAAGCACGGAGACCAATTAAAAAGCTACCTGAAGTAATCTAAACAAGAGATAGTACCAGTGGCTTGGGATTAGTGAGGTAGTACTAGAAATTAAAATGGATGAATCTAAGATACGTTTCAAGGTAGAACTGACAAAACTTTTAATAGCCAAGATTTTATGGGACCAAAGGTAAAGGAAGCAATTAATTATGACTCTTAGATTTGGGGATTGAGCAACTGAGTTGTCAGTGACGCCATTTTCTGAAATGGAGCAGAATTGAGGAGACAGAAGGTTGAGGGAGAAAAATAAAAAGTTCTCTTTGGGATATGTTGACTTTGAAGTACCTATTAGCCATCCAAGTGGAAGCAGTTAGATTATCAAGTCTAGAGTTCAAGCAAGAATTCATAGAGATACCATTTTTGGGAGTCACTGGTTATAAACAGTATTTAAAGCCAAAAGACCAGAAGCGGCTTTCTTTTTTTTTTTATATAGATTTATGTATTTATTTTAGAGAGAGAGAGAGAGCATGAGTCAGGGGAGAGGAAGAGGGAGAGAATCCCAAGCAGATTCCTGGCTGAGTGCAGAATCTGATATGGGGCTCAGTCTCACAGCCCTGAGACCATGAGATCATGAGATCATGAGATCATGACCTGAGCCAAAATCAAGAATACCAGATGCTGAATACGAAAAAGAAGAAATATTTGAAGCAATAACTGAGAATGCCTCCAAATTAATGTCAGACATCAAACCATAGATCCAGAAAGTTCAGAGAACACGAATAAGACAAATGCCAAAAGTAAATAGCATATATCACTGGATAAATGAAGCACTCTATTAAAATTGTATTACATAATTTATATACAATTATATACAATAATAGTATACTTACAACAAATAATAGTTCATCTAAAAATCATTTATCACATATTTGTCCCATTAAAATGAAAGCCACATGAAGGCGGGGTTTGAATGTTTTCACTCAGTGCTGTATCCTAGAATACTGTTTGGCACATAGCAAGCAGGCCCTTAGTAAATATTTCTTCAATAAATAGCTTCAAAAAATAATAAAATTACATGGGTTTGAATTGTGTGGGTCCACTTACATGTGGATTTTTTTCAAGAAATACAGTACTGTAAATGCATTTTCTTTTATGACTTAATCATTCTTTTCTCTAGCTTATTTTATTGTAAGAATATATAATACACCTAACATACAAAATACGTGTTAATCAGGTATTTGTGTTATAGGTAAGGCTTCCAGTCAACAGCAGGCTATTAGTAGCTAAGTTTGGGGGGGGGGGCATCAAATGTTATACGTAGATTTTTGACTGCATGGGGGGTCAGCACACCTAACCCCCACATTGTTCAAGGGTCAACTATATTTTAAAATGCCTAGGAAGGAGGTTCATGAGATACTTTATTATGAAAGGAGTCTTAAGATTAGGAAATATTAGTATAGAACACTGCTGTCCAATAGAAATAGGAGTTACACATTTAATTTTAAATCTGCTACTAGAATATATTTTAAAAAGTAAAAAACATGAAATTTTAATTAAAATATTTCAATCTGTAATTAATATAAAAGTATCTTGATGAGATGTGCTAAGTCTCAAAACCAGTGTTTTTTACATTTAACAAACTCAATTTGGACTAAACACATTTCAAGAGCTTGATAGTCACATGTGGTTAAGGACTACTGTACTGGACAGTACAAAGTATAAAGTATAGTCCCCCTAAGTAAACAAGAATCAACCATTAACTAAAATATTAGTCCCCAAAGTTCTTAGCCAAACATATTGTTTTGTATTTTTAGGCACCTATAATATTTCAGAATGTTCAAAAATATGGAAAAGACAAATCCTTAAAAAGCTTTCAAGGAAGCATCAAAGAAGCATCTTGATCTCATGAATATTTAGTTTCTAATTATTCTGTTTCTAATCATGCACATAATTGTGTGGTGCAAAAAGTACTTGGATCTTAGCTAAATCTAAGAAATTTCTTTCAAGCTGCTAAAATACTGTACTATTCCAGGCACCATTTATTTCATATACACCTAAGATACTCAGGTAAAACCGGTACCTCTTCTAAGAGTTTAATATATAGGACTTCAAAGAACCTGTAATGGATAAAACTGAGAAAAACTGAACTCCTTTTGGCCACAAACACAGAACTAAAGTATTAATCTAACAGGATCTGCAAGCTAAGAAACCAACTATATCAGTACCCTTTCAGATTATCCTAATTATCTGTCAAGAAGCAAATGTTCTTGATAATCCAAAAATCAACTATATTTCCTGAGCATGAATTTCACTTCTATGTTTTTACAACAAAGTTTTCAACTTACATTCCAATTTTAATTAATTAGTTAATTAAAAAATTCTTTAGCACATCCAGAGCCCAAAAATTTTGAGGGTGGCAAAAAAACAAAACCAAAAACTAATCTGTTATAAATCTTTTACAGATAATCCACCAAGTAAATAACCCTACAGTGAACAGTCCAGATCTCACTACATATCCTTTTTTCTTAGAAGTCTCACAAAAAAATACCAGAGAGAAAATTGCAGCCAGGCAAAGTTTATGCCTTTAAATTATAAACACTTAAAAACTACAAAGAATTAAAACTTTTTGTCTTTTTTGTCCATATTAAACTCATTATTATATAAATCAAATTAGTTCAGTAAAAAGTCTACATCATAAATTCTAACTTTTGTTCTACAATCTAATCCAACACATTCATTGTGAATTAAGAAATCAGTTGTTACGTTACCACAAATAAAAAGCTTTGCCCTGATGTCTACAAAATGTTTCCATTAGTGACATAATCTTTTTTTTATAAATCATGCATATTTATGAATTTAGCATTAAATATAAAATGGTCCTGTAGACATCATGAGATATAATAAATATTATGTCATCCCTCAAAAATTGCACATACACAGTGAGATAATTATGATGTCATTAATTACTGAGTTGATCCCAACACTTAGATCAGGTCTTTACAATATATAGGTCATATATACCAAATAATTTTTGGCATTTCTACTTTTCTAAGAAAAAAATCAAAAGTTTGCTAATCTAGTCTATCTTCAGAAATGAAACTGATAATCTAGATAATTTAGATAAAAACCACCCTTCCTCCTGAAAATGAACTTTAAAAATTAAAGGCCAAATCTGATTTTCCACCCCCTAAAGTACTGCTCCAGATTTTAACTATGATTTATATTCTAGCACGTGTATGTATATTTCATATAGTCCACAGAAAATAACCCATTCAAATCCACCCTGAACATTAAATTTACTCTTTTGACTGGAATCTGGATAATCCCAGTTATCTTAAATGTAGTAACACGAACTAGGAATTACATTATCACAAATAAGGCAGATTCATCCTTAAGTTTTAGACCGTAAAAACTACCAATGACATTGTGAGAAAGGGGAAAAGCCTGAAGTAGGGACAAATATTAAATTATTTCCACAGTAACAACTTAAATGTGATTCAGACAGCTGATCCATTAGAATAACAGTCAGAGAAAGATAGGAAAAAAGACAAATTCTCTCAGCAAAGTATGAAAAGCTCTTTCAAACATTACTAAAATATAAGACTCAAAAATTTTAATGTGTAACTCATAAAGAAAAAAATCTAATTAAAACAATAGTAATGAGAAAGAGTTTACACTGGTATTAATTTTACTCCTCAAAAATATAAGAACTAATGGAAGATATAAATACAAAATACAGTGTCATGTTTTCAAGATTTCTTTCTTAAATGTGGACATTCTCAATTTACAGCACAAAACACTGCAGTAATTGGCATGACCAGGGTACAGTTGGCTCAGTACTTTGTACTCAGTTATGTTTACAGCAAGAACTTCTTCCACTTTGAAAACTATCCCTAAAAAGGAATTCTCTTTGAAGACTAAAGGAATTTAATTAAAGATAAAGCCACTTGGGTGGCCACATAATACATCAAACAGATCATACTTCAAGCAGAATTATTACTACTCAGTTATAAGTGCATGACTCATAGGAATATAAATGAAGAGTTGTTTTTTGTGTGTGTGTACATCTGCTTGGACCCAGAAATTTACACTTAGAAGTGTACTATCATATTTGCTCCAATTTAATTTCAAGTCGTGAAACACTGATTAATGATCTACACATAAAACTTTTTAAAAATTACTTTGAAAAACATGCTTGAGAATTCTTGGTCTTCTAGAACCGAAACCAGACAATAAATACAAAGTTCATTACAAATGTTAACAAAACCTCAATATTATAAATGAATGCCTTTTCTCCCAATTCTGCAATACTTAGAGAACTGTAGCATCCATATAGAAATAAAATGTGCTTCTAAAATCCTAAACATATCATCAAGTATTAAAGACTTTCATTATTGTCTTCAGATTTTCATTATAGACTGTCCAAAGGCAAGTACAATATTACCATTTTTATTAACATTTGCTGATTATTTATCCTACATGCAGTAAGGAGCCCAGTTCACTGAAATCTCTCTTAAGACAACATCTAAAAGGAAAAACAAATAGAAATCTTGTGGAAATGATACACCTTCCTTGCCTTTTGAAATTGAACATACAGAAAGTAATGTAAGATCGTACTGATGATTCAGGGTCATCCTTATGTACAGTATTCCCTTATAGTCCCATAATGCAGTCAGGACTTTTAGGATAGAGGTATAAGATGATATGCTTTCAAGTCAGTGAACTGGTCGCTAATTCCCTACGACCTGTCACTTCTGTTGCAAGCAGCCCCACTCCTTGCAGTTTTTAACTTGTGAAACCCAATTGGTAAACAATCCTAAACACAATTCTAAACCCGAACGAAACAGCTTTCTGCCTCCTTTACGATCTAAAACTGTACAGACCAATGCAAAAGGACATGAGAGGAAAAGAACCAAATAAATAAAAATAAAAATTACAGATGAAATATAAGGTTTATGTGGTAGGTTAAAGGCAGTAAAAAATGTTATAGGCAGTAATACATGGAACAATGTGAATAATGAAATAAAGGAACTTTAGATAGTAGGCTTTAAAAAAAAATAACACCAAAAAATAAATAAAAAATTAAAAAAAAACACAGAAAAGGCTACACATGAAACTAGAATGATCAAAGTGAAATCTGTAAGTGAATTCCATACAAGATAGATAAATGAATAAAGGAAATGAAATAGTTTATCATGATAAATGCCATAAAAAACTGGATAGAACTCTTGGCTAATGCAGGAGTTGAACATGAGAAGTCACTGGACCTTTTTAGGAGACAACTGTGAGATCAGCGAGGTCCCTATCTGAAGGGAGAAGTACTCAAAGTAATGAATCAAACAATAACGGTATACTGCCAACAATGTACTGGTAAACTGAGTAAGACAAAAAAAGCAAGACATCATTTCCTGATTTTCCAGAGGTCAAAAAGGTAAATATTAATAAGCCAACTGGCAAGTATTCATTGAGCACCCACTTTGTGATTTGCAACATGTCAAATATGAAATATATTCTCCTTGAAGCATCTTACAGTAAGAAGATAGATATACAACAGTTATTGTGGAAACAATAACTTAAGGCAAATTAAAGCAAGGTTTTTTGTTTCAATACTAACACTAGATGATGAACAAGGACATAATGTGAGGCTGGGTCATACACGAGATGAGTATAAATTGATACAACATTCTAGAAGGTAGTTTGGTGATGTTCAAGAGCCTTAAACACACACAACCCCAGTCTCTGACCTAGTAATCTCTTTTACAAATCTAAGGGGAAAAAAAATTTCAAAGATTTATGTAAAAGGCAATTCTCTGTAGTGAAGTTTGTTAGCAAAACAACAGAAACATCCCAAATATCTGTCAATAGGAAAAATTTTAAATATAATAGTTACATGATATAATTTTAAGCAGCCAAATATAATTTTTCAAAGACTAATGACATGGGAACATTTATGAGGTAGAATTAAATGAAAATATATCACATGAACCCAGTTATAGGAAAAATTCAAATACACATATTTAGAAATACAAACTGTATTATTTGCACTCATCTTTATTTTCCAAATTATAAGATTTTTTAATAATT